AGCAGTGTCGTCTGGTGGATGATGCTCCAGACCAGAGGCTCAGAGCAGTTTAGCTTCGTGACATTCCATCCTCTGTGTCTCAGATGTGACGGAGGAGGAACTGGACTGACATCACTGCAGTGACCTTGACCTTGACCTTGACCTCAACTGTGACTTCAAACCCCCCACCACTGACAGTTTCTACTGTGTAGTCCAAACTTCAGCTGCAGCAGCAGGAGTTACACGCACAGACCCAGGCAGACGTGCTGCAGTCAGCCAGTGTAATTCCATGGTGGTCACATGATGATGACATCACCAGATACTGTGACATCAGGTTGTTGCTCAGCTCTGACTCTGACTGGAGCTTCGTGGATTCATACATCGATGTTGTCGTCACTCCTGATTGGTCGGTACATCAGTGAGATTCTCCACCAAAGATAGAAGATGGTGCAACTGGAGCAAAGATGATGACGTCATCACCACAGTCTTCGTTGGTGTCTTGTTTGCTGGTCCGGTTGTTGGACTATAGTACATCCATGGTATCGGTTCCAGTTCCTGATCTCGTTAATGTTTGGTCCTGGTTTTGGTTTAAGCTAAAAATGTGAAAATGACGAAGACGACGGCGCGGCGATAGAGAGAGGCGTGGTCGTCCTTCACGCTCACGTCACATGTGCACCTCAGATTGAGAACCTTTTGTATTTGGCTTTACTTAAGTGTGCTTTAATTTTCTGATGATGTCATTGGTCAGTCTGAAGTGGTTTTTGCTGTTGTTGAAACCGCTGCAGGAGACGTCCACTCGGGGTCACTGTTTATCACGGTCCGGTCGTTGATTTGGTCAAACATTTTACAACTTCATTAAAAAAAAGTGATGTGATGTTAAATGTGAAAGGTTTTTAGGTTCCGTGGATGTAACGTCGACTGTCACTGAGGAAATGGATTTTTTTTGTTTGTATTTTTCCAAAAACTCCTGAATCTGATGCAAACATTTCACAGTCTTCACACGAAAAAGGAAAAAGATGAGTCAAAGACCCGACTCAGGCCCAACACTAACTGGTTCTACTGCTGCAGGGTCCTTTGACCTCTGACCTCTGTCTCCAGAACCACCTGAAATGCCTTATAAAAAACATAGGTGTAACGTTAGAGCTGTGTCCTCTGTTGGTGGACTTACCAGCATGTGTGTGTGTGTGTGTGCACTGATGCTGTCTCAGACCAGCATGTGTGATATACATACATACATACACACACATATACACACATACATATAGCAAGTGTGTCATCTAGAAGCAGGTGAAGTGACGTGGTGCGTGACAGTGGGCGTGGCTCTCATCAAACTGGAGACGTTGGTGTGTTTCCATGCTGTGATCACAGGCTTTTTAATAGTATTTATATTTGGAATCTTTAGTTTCCTCTTGTCGTCCATTTGAATTTCTGAAGCCATTTTTCAGACCTGAGATTGTTTTGTTGGTTTGTACACTTAAACCAAATGGTTTCAGTTGACGTTGATGTTAAAGGTGAACCATGGTGAGAGCCACAGATGTTTACTGTGAATCTTTGTACATTTCCAGGACAGCGGTGCTGACGTGGTCTGTGGTTTCAGCTTTTTTTTACCGTACATTTGACGACGTTTCCAAAGTTCAGTGAACGTTCTGATGCAGCTTTTAGTTCTGTCCTTACGTCTGCGTCTGCATGTAATATTTGGTACATGTGTCGTGAATGTATTTTTTTAAAATAAATTTCTCAGTTTGCTAGATTGTTGTGTGGTTATTTTTAATAAACTAAAAACATGTGTGGACCAACAGGCAAAAAACTGAAATCAACATCCTGATTAACTTGGTTTGGCTCCCTACCAAGGGGGGCGCTGCAGAGCTTTATCAACACATTCACAGGTAGGCTTCAAAACTCCAAAGATCATTTTATACAAATGTCATAAAACTGATTCTCATTGAAGGGAAAAATAGAAATCAGTGCGACAGGAACAACTGAAGAAAAACTTTCTGGGGGGAGAGGGCGCTGTTGTACCTGTGTCAGACGAGTCTCTTGTGGTAGACAGATCTGCAGAGGGGGCACGAGGGTCTTCTGTCTGCTGTGAACGACTCGAAGGCCTCCAGACAGAGCTGATGGAAGAGGTGAGAGCAGGAGAGCAGCACAGCAGTGCATGATGGGATGTCCTGGCTGCAGAGTGGCATCAGGCAGATGGGACAGTCCCTCAGTCCTCTGTGGATGACCTGTCCCAGTGGGAGACAAACGCACCGTTAGTCACCTGACCTGCACCGGGGCAGCTGGGGTTCTGATCCTGTCTGACCTGGTTCTGAATCCTGGTCCAGTCTGGGTCCTGAGGCTCACCGACGTTCCTTCTCTCCAGCTGCTGGAACACTCGTCTGCTCCACGACAGCGAGCGGTCGATATCAGTCAGGAAAGTCTCCGTGTCGGTGGGACAGTGTCGCACCAAGCTGTCGTTCAACTCCTGCAACTAACGAGAAAGAAACAAAACAAAATCCCATTGACTTCTTAATTAAATGGACTTGTTAAAAATTAAAAACTAACCAGAGACGCTGAAAACTGATGAAGAAAAAAACATCATCATCATCATCATCAATCAAGAGGGGAGAAATATGAATTAGTAAATCAAATACAGAGACGTTGAGCTAAAGGTCAAAGGTTAACAGAGGAAAGTTGATTTTCCCTGATGATGTGACGACCGTCCAGACTGAAGAAGAGTCAGAAAAGTGACCACAGAACCAAGAGTACTCCCTGATACTGCAGTACTGAGGAACCGCAGTGATGGTCTGTCATCTCATCATTTAGCCTCTTCTCTCGTTTACAACAGCTGTTGCTAAGCAACAATTAATGCCTTCAAATTGTTTTAATCAAACCCTTTTCAACAGTCTATTTATAAACACAGGGTTCCAAGGCAGCGGAACAATGAGGGGAACACAGAGCACGCCAACAACAACGGTTCCAACAACAACGGTTCCAACAACAACGGTTCCAACAACAACGGTTCTGATAGATTCTCTGTGCTTCAAAGATGCCCCCCCACACCTCCCCCCAGGTGTCTGTGTCTGTTGCTGACACAGACACGTCAGTGCTGAGCTGATCAAACATCCCCCCCACCCCCACCCCTCTGAATGTAAGGTACAGTGGAGATGGGCCTCCACCCCCCCCCAAGTGTGGACCTGGTCACAGCCTCACCCATCCGTGTGAGAGGGGGAGTGGGTGATGAAGCAGCTTCACTAGGTGGCACTGTTTCCTTTTTCTGCGAGCCACTGTCAAATCAACAGAAGCTTCCAGTTCCTGCGTCCACTTCCTGTCCGTGGCAGACTGTGATGTCATCGCTCCGTCACGTCCAGAGGTCACATGACCGACATCTCCGTACGGAGAAGACGGCCGGGGATGAAAACCTGCGTCAGGTATCCAGGCAGCCGGGCCGCGGTCACGTCTTCAATCTTCATCATGTGACAAAGACTCCACGCCACACACACACACACAGACTGATGACGGAGCAGCACAGCGCCACCATGTGCTTTTGTCTTGACCCTGGAATGTCCAGACTGTTTGACAACCACACAAACTCTCCCCACATCAGTGTATGATTCACCAAGCATCAACTGAGCTGCAGCGGGTGAGAGCGGGTGAGAGTGGGTGGAGGTGTGTGTGGCTGAGGGGGGGGGTCAGTGGGTCCATGTTTGTTTACTGCTCGTTAAAACGCCACTGGTGAAGGGATGAAAATAAAAAGACGGTTCTGATGTTGCCATGGAGACCACGGTGTTCCCATGTCCTAGTGACAGGCCACAGGAGGGTCAGAGGTCAGACAGGACTGGACATTAAGCTCTGTTGAAATTAAACAGCCACAGTCTGCTAACAGTTAGCCAGAATTAGAATCAGCTAAAACAAAACCAATGCCGAACCGAGTTGAGAACAACCCTAACCCTAACCCGTTAGCTAACAGTTAGCCACGTAACAACCACAACGCTAACCTGGAACCATGGAACACAACTGGAGGTCAAAGAGAGGGAGTAAAAAAAAAAAAACGACCTCAAAGAGAATCCTTGATTTGTACGAGCAATCCTTCAGTTTCACAGACTGGAGACAAAGTTCTGGTCCGGTTCTGGACTCACCCTGGCTTCAAAGAACTTTCGTCGTAGTCCTTGGTCTTTGGGCCAAACCGTTTTTCGAACGTGTCTGTAAGACTTCCTGGCAACGTGACCTCGCCAACACGCCTGGATTCTACACATGCAGACACACGGTCAGAGAACACGCAGCAGAACCATGACTAAATACATGACATCACAGAGATAATCACATGATTCAACACAGTGGTTACCAAACCTTTATACCCCCCCCCCCCGGCCTCCTGCACCCACCTTATAGATCACTATCC